AGCGCCACCTGTTGCTGCTGAGTCCTGGCGCACCCCCGCTGCTTTGAGCCGCCGGTCAAGCTTCTTGTCCAGGGCTTGTGTGATGTGTCTGACGAGGTCAGGAGGTGGTCCCGCCGCCCATCGTCCACTCGGTCCCCTCTGGGTATTGCTGGGCGACGGCTTCTCCCACTCCTTGGCATTCTTCTTCGCTGCCTGCACCACGCGATGAGGGGCAGCAGCGCCGCATATGCACTTGATACGGCAGGCCCAATTCGCTGTGCGGGTGCACTGCGAGCAGGCCCATAGAGGCTGACGAGGGCCTCTGAGCACGGAACCATCGCCAGACATACTGCGGGTGTCGCGGCGATAGCTGAAGACTGAAAGCTTTTGGCCCGCCGACGCAGGCCGTTCTGAAGTTGGCGTCGGCAAGCTCAGCTCAGAAATCTCTGAGCCAGAACGGCTGAAGGGGGAGGGGGAGGAACAGGGGGACGAGGAGGAGGGGAGGAGGAGGGGGACGAGGAAGGGGAGGAGGAGGAGGAGGAGGGGGACGAGCAGGAGGGGGGCGAGGAGGATGGGATGGCCCACTACGCCGCCGCCCCATAGGATGCGGCGCGCTGGCTGCTGAGGACGTTCCGCGGGCGCCTGCGGCGTGCACCCGCCGAGCCAAGGACGGGTCGGTCCGCGCGCTGGTGTAAAACGCGCGCGCGCGGCGGTGCACCGCCTGGCGGTGGGCCGCCTGTTGTAAAAAATCACGTTCGCGCGGCGGTAGCCCGCCTGGCGGCATCCCGCCTGGGGAAAAAGAGGGACGGAGAGGAGGGGGGCGGGAGCGGGGCCCCGCAGGCTGCACGGACCGATGGCGGCGCCGACGCGTTTTTGAAAGCGCCCCCGCCCCCCGGCTTCCATGCGAAAAACCAGGCGTATCGGACTTATACATTAGATATATGTTACTTATAAGTAAGATATAAGTAAACTAGTTTTGATGAGTATGCTAGATATAAGTGAGAAGAAGTAACATACATGCAGCATGTAACATATGTCAACGCCATCACCAAAACTCCCCGGACTCCCCGGACTCCCCAGGTTCCCCGGGTTCCCCGGGTTCCCCGGACTCCCCAAACTTCCCGGACTCCCCGGACTCCCGGGGGCTCACGACGGCCACCGACGGCTTCCGCCCAGTCGATGTCTCGGCGCACGGAGGGTCAGCGCGAACGATGATGATAATGATGATGATGATGATGATGATGATGATGATGATGATGATGATGATGATGATGGTGATGGTGATGGTGATGGTGATGATGATGATGATGATGAGGAGGAGGAGGGAGGAGGAGGGGAGGAGGAGGAGGAGGAGGAGGAGGAGGAGGGTGAGGAGGAGGAGGATGGGGGAGGGGGAGGAGGAGGAGGAGGAGGAGGAGGAGGAGGACGAGGAGGAGGAGGAGAGGAGGAAGAGGAGGAGGAAGAGGAGGAGGGGAGGAGTGGGGCGAGGAGAGGAAGAGAGGAGGAGGAAGGAGGGGGAGAGAGGAGGGAAGAGAGGAGGAGGACGAGGAGGAGAGGAGGAGGGGGAGAAGAGCATGCGAAGGCGGAGGAGGAGGAGGGGAGGAGGGAGGAGGAGGAGGGGAGGAGGAGGAGGAGGAGGAGGAGGAGGAGGAGGAGAGGAGGAGAAGGAGGAGAAAGAGGAGGAGGAGGAGGAGGAGGAGGAGGAGGAGGAGGGGAGGAGGAGCTGCAGGAGGGGGCTCAGCCAGTCTCCTTCGACTATCCCTTCTGGCCGACCCGGGCTTGCGAGCCACATCGAGCCAGCCCCCCTCTGTCTCCCTCCGCAGACCTGGAGCTCTTCTTCGGCCAGCCATCGTGCTCGCGGCATGGCCCTGGTTGGCCCAGGTCAGCGCTGACTTGGATTCGCGCGTCCCCGATTGAAAATGATTGTAGGCCCCAGAACCCGGCTTCTTAGATAGGAGATCATGGAAGCCTCGTGTGCCCTCTTTATACTATTTTTAGCGTCAGTTCGTGTCTTGAGTCCATGAGATAGCGCCGATCGAGCGTCGGCAAGCGTCTATCAGCGTCAAATGTGGCGTCGACTTATCGTCGATTATTGTCGACTAGCGTCGATGTGCGCCGATTCGCAAGAGCAGACAACATGGCACGGGAATCTTCCACGAATTGCCACCGAAGATTTCCTGCGGCATTTCTCGAGCCGGAGGTCCATCAGTGAGGGCCCCGGGGGCCCGACATTCATGGGGCGAAGGCCCCCGGCGCGGCACGCGCGACGACGCCGGGATCCTGGGCCCCCGACGTCACGAGTTTTTTTTTTTTTTTTTTTTTGTTGTTTGATTTCTTTCTTTCTTTTTTTTTTCTCACAGCGTCGACCCCGAGCGGTCTCCACCTATTCTTGGGGGCGGCAAAGAGGGGGGTGATACTTCGGGGGCAACGAGGGGGGGGATAGGCATAGGGGGGATGCGTCGACCCCCCATCGCCCACGGATCGCCGCTAGGGGCCAGATAACCCCAACCTGCTCAGGAAGGTGCGGATTCTCTATCGGAGGCCTATCGCCGATCTATCGGCGATGCATCGCCCTTTCCAGGTCGATGCGCCCCCCCCTATGTCAGCCCCCCCCTCGCGTTGCCCCGCGTGACCATGGGGGGTAGACATCGCGGCGTGGGCTATGATATTCCCTCAGATTTCATGGCGCCTCTTCTTACTTCAGCGCGCCCCCGGCCCCGCCTTTGGGCCGCGCGCGCGCCGCCAGCCATGTCCGAAACGGTGGCTCAAGATGAAACGCCTTCGGCGCGAGGGCTTTGCAGGTTGTCCTCGGTGCGCTACCTGCCGCGCCGAAGACGGACTTCCCGCGCGTGCAAATCACGGCGGGGTGTCGAACCGGGGCCGATGGGATCGCCAGGCTGCGACTTCCTCAGCGCCAGGGCCTCCGCCGCCCCCCCCCCCCCGCCTGCGCCAGCGCGCGTCGAAGCCAAGTCGGACGCGGATTGCCCCAATGTCGACAGCGAGCAAGACCAGCAGCACGATGGAGACATCCGAGAGCCTACGTCCTGGACGGGAACCTCTTACCAAGGAGATGACCGTGATAAGTATTTGCTGGGATTTGACCTGATGTCAGAGGACCTTAGCAACGCTTCTGACCAAATCGTTGCCCGCATGGGCTTCGTCAACATGCCTTTAATCCGCGCGTCCTTCTACTTCTACTGCTAGTTGTGGCCAGCCGGACGCGCTGGTTCCGCGGGCAGCCCGGGGGCGCGTGGAGTCGGGGCTCGAGCGCGCTGCGCTGCTGCATCGATCTATCGTGTCTCACGCACCTTGATTGGGCAAGCAGCCTCGCCTCGACGCGTCGCTCAGGTCTCGCGCGTGTTTTGCGGTCAGCGTCTATCGACGCATCTTCCGCTCGGCGCCGACCACTGATGCTCGCTTGGCTGTGTGGCTGGCGTGTGATCGCATGCTTCGATGCACGGGGGCTCCCAAGTTCATCGACGACACGGTGTTGCGGGATCCCGGCGCTGCACATCGGCATCTGTGCGACGGCGTCACGCTGGAGACGAGCGAAGCGGTTGCTCAGTTTCTGCGCGCTTCTGTTCTCAGCAAACTGCATTTGATGTCGTCGGTCACCGGGTGGTTCGACGGGCACGACGGCCGGCGGCGCACATGCCCGCGCAGCGTCGGGGTGCCGATTGCGTGCGACTCCCGCATCCTCGACCACCTGCTGCGTGCTCTGCCGCGATGGATATCTTCCTGCTTGGTGATCGCGGGCCGGCTGAGCAGTTGAATCAGAGTTCTGAGGCAGGCTCGGGCGGGGGAGGACGACCCTGGCCTAGTGAACCAGGCCTTCGCCGTGACCGAAGCGCTCATGCTGAGCCTGCTGACGCTGGACCTTCTTGGACGTCCTACCGTCTCACCGGCGCTACCGTTTGCGGTAAGGGTTCATTGCTACCCCGTGAAATTCATGCTCTCCGACATCTCCCTTCCGGTTGGGTGCGCCATAGTTATGTAGCCGCGCGCGCAGTCCGCCCGATGTGGGCGACGACGGCGCGCATGTCCAGGGGCGCAGCCCGCCTGCGAGATGCCGCTGCCCCCAATGCGCGCTTCTCTTCCGGGCCCGGCGCGAGTGCATCTTCGCTGGGCCAGCCCCCAGGGCGTTCCTGACTGCAGCCCAGGGCATGCCCGACGGCTTCCCGCTTGCAGTGGGGACAGCGTCGCCGAAGCTCCGGCAGATCAACGAGTGCATCAACGAATACTTCGGCAGCTCCTTCTGCTTGTATCCCACGTGCCTACGGTGAACCGCTCTGGGGACGTTCGGCCCCGCTTCGAAAATTCTCAGTGGCCTCCTGGGCCGCCCTGGGCTATCCTGGCGCCATCTTGGGCCGTCTTGGGCGCATCTCGGGGCCATCATAGCCGCCCCAGAAACCACCTCGGCCATGTCGGAGGCTCTCCCGAGGCCGCATGGAGCCAGAAAGACCGACGACCTGGGATGCGCACAGGTCTCTGCGGGTTCGAGACGCCGACGGAGTTTGCATGTTGGGCCGGTCGCCGGGGAGTGGCCAGCGGGTTGGGCCGGGACCCCGCTGGGGGGTCCTCTAGAAAACCGGAACACTCGGAAACCCAGCGCGCCGTGCATTCCCGCGGCAAGAACACAGGGTTCGGCGGATCGAGTGGCCTTCGGCCAAACCCGCCGCCGCGCCAGGGGCGAATCATCTAAGGGGCGCTCTGTGCTTTGCTGTTGAAGGTTCAAGGCCAGATGGTGAAGCGGCGCTCGGCGGGAGAGCGCCCTGGAGCTCCCGGCATTCAGCCCCATTCGATCGCAATTCAATAATTCTTTTTGGGCTCACGGACGAGAATTGCAAGGGTCTTGGGGGCGCAACAACTCGCGCCTCTGGGCGCGGTGGCGGTTATCCCACAGTGTCTGCCCTGCGCGCGGCGCTTGTTCCTGACGCACGTGCGGTCCACAGATAAGGCGCCGCCAGATGCGCTCGCGAACTCAGAATGGAGGTCGAGGTAACTAGCGCGTGCTTGCGGAGGCAACGATGGCAGCTGAGTCCGCGCTGATGGCCAACATGTTCGGTTGGCTGGCGCGCCACGGCTTGTCTGGCGAGTGCGAGTCGCACGCGCCCGGCGCGCAGCGCCGCATCCTCGTCGCCGCGGGCTGGCCCAGCATCGGCGACCGAGCAGGGGCATTGCAGTCGATTGCCGCAGTAGCCCAGGCTGCGCGCAGCTGAGCGGCCCAGCGCGGGGGGGGGGACGGGCGAGGACAGAAGGAAATGGAGGGCGAGGGGGGGCGATGGGGGCGGGGGGGCGGAGACGGAGGAGGAGGTCCCCGCGGGGGTTCCAGACGTCCACAGAGGCCACCCGAGGACCGAAAAGCGTCCAAAACGCCTCCTCCTCTCCTCCTCCTCCTCTCCTCCTCCTCCTCCTCCTCCTTCCTCCTCTCCTCCCTTCCTCCTCCCCCTCCCCCCCCTCCCCCCCTCCCCCCCCCCTCCCCCCCTCCTCCTCCTCCTCCTCTTCCTCCTCTGAGGGCGACGACGACGACGATGCGTCGTCAACTTGCATCGTTTTGTCATTCCTCGACAGCTGTTTCCGGGGGCCGCTTCCAGGCCCCTGCGGCCTTCAAAAACATGCCCCGGGTCCTCGGCGCGCTATCGGATCCAGCAAGCAGCGGCCCCGGCGCCGACTGCGCACTGGCACCTCATCGAGCAGCCCCGGCGCTGACTCGACGGGCGTTCCCTCGGCACGATTGCGACCAAAGCGCAGCGGGCAATGGGGGAGGCGAAGGAGGATGGGGGAGGAGGGCGATCCAGAGGAAGCCGCCTTCGCGGTTCGTCGCCGACTTGCATCGTTTTTGCTTCTCCTGGAAAAGCGGGCCCCGGGGGCCGCTTTCGGGCCGCGAGCTCTGAAACATGGGCCCAGGGCCCGCGGGGTGTTATCGGGGCTGGTAAGCAGCGGCCCCGGAGGTGACTGCTTACTGGTGGCCCATCGAGCAGCCCCGGCACTGACTCGACGGGCGTTCCCATAGCATGATCTGGCGGCGAAGGCAGAGCGGGCGCAGGAGGAGGCGAAGAAGGATTCGGGAGGCGGAGGGGGAGGAGGAGGAGGAGGAGGAGGAGGAGGAGGAGGAGGAGGAGGAGGAGGAATAGTAAACGCCCTGTAGGAGGCGCGCCCGGAAGGCGATCGCGGCCGGCCCGAGATGGCCTCTGCCCCCTCGCGCCCGCTGCCTTTTTTTTTTCCAGCCCATTATAGTCGCATTGATTACGCAGCCCGGTGCGTATCCCTATCATGGCCCCGATCATTCTCTCACCCCGCCGTGTCGGAGCCACCTTGCCTGATTCGCCTTCTTGGCCCATTTGCCGCGTTATTTCGCGCATCAGCGATCCTCAACCTTTACGCCCACATAGCCAAAATGCCCTCCGATCCTCTCGCAGCGTTGACACTTGAACCCTCCTTGCCCTCTTGCCCAGGTGCCGTCTGAACCATATTGCCCTTTTCTACCAGACCAACCTGTTTGCCGTCGTGTTCACGCTACTGCATTGCTCTCTTTGCCACATTACCTTCACGCTGCGTTGCCCGCAGTAACCCTTCAAACAGTATTGACGCACTTGCCGCCTTACTCCCTTTTCTCATCATTCCCCTTGACCCTCGCGCCCCCAGAGCAGCATTGACTTTGTTCTTCAGCTCGCCCTCTCACCATTCTCCCCCTGAGCATTATTCACCGCATTCACCAGATTACCTTTTATATTTTTGCTTTCCTCACCCGCGGTTGCTCTTTCCCTTTTACCTTCGTAATGCTTTTGCCGCCTGGTCCTCTTAACCTCTCTGCCCTCTTGCCCTCTCTATCCTGTTAACCCTGCGCCCTTTTGACGCGCGCCCGGCCCATGGGGCCGGAGAGGGGGCGCGGGGGGAAAGAGGAAGGAAAAAGGGGAAGTATGAACGTGCATTGACGCTCTTGCTTCTTTTGCGATTGGCGCGATGCGGGCGGCAGGGGGGCGAGCAAGAGTCGCCGTTTTTACCGCCTGACCCTCTTGCTTTCTTGCGTTCGTCATCCCGTTTCCTCTTGCCTTCTGACCCTCGTAATGTTTTCTTTTTCTTCTCGCTATCCTGACATTTGACCCTCCTATCCTCTCGGCCGCTTTGCCCTCTCGACCGTCCCAGCGCCCATGCCATCTCACTCATCTCGCCAGCCCTGACCCCCCTCGCCTTCCTGGCGCGGAGGGGGGGGGGGGGGGGGGGGCAGGGGGAGACGCATGGAAGGATGGCTGTGGGAGGCGATCGCCGCGCGTTCCGGGCCCCGTCGTCGGAAAGAAGGCACAGGGGGAAGGAGGGGGGCAAAAGGAGGCAACGACGCAAATCGACGCCATTGCTTTCTCTGCGATTGGAGCGATACGAACTGCAGGAGGATGATGAAGAGCCACCGTCTTTACCATCTGACCGTCTTACTTTCGCGCCTCCGTCATCCCCTTTTCCTCTTGCCCTCGCAATGCTTTCTTCCATTCGGCCCTCTTGCTATCTTGCCGCCTGATTCCCTTATCCCCTCGGCCTTCTCACCCCCTCAATCTCCTTCGCCCCCGCGTCTTCTAAACGCTCGACGGGCCCAGGCGTCGGAGAGAAGGTCCCGGGGAAGGAGGAAGGCGCAAGGAAGCAATAACGCACGTTGACGCTATTGCGCCCTTGGCGATTGGCGCGATGCGGACGGCAGGGGGAGGAGGATGAGTCACCGTCTTCACCACCTTGCCCTTTTTACCCTCTCGCCTTCGTCGCCCCGTGCCCTCTTGCCCTCTTACCCTCGCGAGCCCTCTTGCTTTCCTGACGCTTGACTCTCTTATCCTCTCGGCCGCTTTGCCCCCTTGACCTTCTCAGCGCCCATGCCATCTTACTCATCTTGACCGCCCTAACCCTCCTCGCCTTCCTGTCGCGGAGGGGGGGGGGCAGGGGGGGGCGCGCGGGCGGCCGGCGTCGGGGGGGGGGTCGCCGCGCGCCCCCGGCCCCGTCGACGGAAAGAATGCGCAGGGGGGAGGAGGGGGGCAAAAGGAAGCAATAACGTGAATTGGCGCTGTTGTTTTTTTGCGATTGGGGCGATGCGCACTGCAGGGGGATGATAAAAAGCCACTGTCTTCACCATCTGACCGTCTTACTTTCATGCCTTTGCCATCCCCTTTTCATCTTGCCCTCTTTTCCTCGCAATGCTTTCTTCTTTCGGCCCTCTTGCTATCTTGCCGCCTGATTCTCTCATCCCTTCGGCCTTCTTACCCCTCAATTCCCCCACCCCTCGCCTTCTAAACGCGCGACGGGCGGGAGAGGAGGCCCCGGGGGGGGGGGGGGGGGGGGGCAAGGGGGCAAGAGCGCACGTTGACGTTATTGCTTCCTTTGCGATTGGCGCGATACGGACGGCAGGAGGATGATGACGAGTCGCCGTCTTTACCACCTTACACCTTTTACCCTCTTACCTTCGTCATCCCCATTCCTCTTGCTCTCTTACCCTCGCAATGATTTCCCCCTCCTAGCCCTACTGCTATCTGGCCGTCTTTTGCTCTTATCCACTCAGCCCTCTTACCTCCCAATCTTCCTAGCGCCCGCGCCCTGTTAATCATCTTGAACACCCCCGCCGCCCTCGCCTCCCCGACGCGAAGGGGGGGGCAGGGAGAGATGCACGGGTGGATGGGCGTGGGGGGCGATCGCCGCGCGCCCTGGGCCCCGTCGTCGGAAAGAAGGCGCAGGGGGGCGGACAAGGGAGAAGCGAAGCAATAACGCAATTTGACGCTCTTGCTTCCTTTTCGATTGGAGCGATACTGGCGGCAGGAGGAGGATGAAGAGTCACCGTCTTCACCATCTTACCCTCGTGCCTTTCTGCCTTCGTCATCCCCTTTCCTCTTGCCCTCTTGCCCTCGTAATGCTCTCTTCCTCTGTGCCCTCTTACTACCTTGCCGTCTGATCCTCCTATGGTCTCAGCCCTCTTACCATTGGATTCCTCTTAACCCCCTGCCGTCTCAATCATCTTGACCATCCTAACCCTTGCCTTCCTGGCGCGAACAAGGGGGGGCACGGGGAGATGCATGGGCGGGCGGGCGTGGGAAGCCATCGCCACGCGAGCCAGGTCCAGGAGTCGGTCGGAAGGCAGGGACAAGACGAAGGAGGAGGGATAAGGGTAACAATGACGTGAATTGAAGTTACTGCTTTCTTGTCGATTGGAGGGGCGCGGACGGCAGGGGGATGATGGGGGGGGGGGGGGCGAGGTTGGCTGGCTCAACGGGCCGCTTTGCCCCCCCCACACTTTCGCCTCCGATGCGCTCCCGAGGCTTCCGAACCCGCCTAGAGGCTTACAGCGCGCCTTCAAGAGACCCCAAAAGGCACCGAAAGTGCCCGGGCGGCGCCGAGAAGCCCCAGAGAGGCCCCCAAGAGGCTCCCAAACACGCCCTCAAGAGGCCCCAAGACACCCCGAAGACGCCCCCGAAGAAGCCCCCGACACGCCCCCCATATGCCCCCAAGACGCCCCCACTGCACTCTGGCGGTGTGTCTCTCGTTTGCTCTCGCGGGGGCTTCTGTGCGGGTGCCGTCCATTCAGATCAGCCAACGGACGCGCGAGTCTGCTCTGTCCTGTTCGCCCTTGTCTTCCTTACCGGCCCGCGTCCAGGGTCGCCGACATATGTCGCTTGCATTGCGCAGCATGCGGCTGCGACCTTGTAGGTTGCCACGTCATGGTGTTGTCTGCCTTTTTCCTCCTCCCCTCTCCTCTTCCTCCTCTTCTTCCTCCTCATTTTCCTGCTGTTGCTGCTCCTTCTCCTCCTCCTCCTCCTCCCCCTCCTCCTGTCGCCCGTTTTATTTACCTATAAGACCACCCTTCGGGTGATGAAGGGGGTTGTGGGCTGGGTGGGGCCAACTGGAGCTATAGCATAGCATAGCATATCATATAAGCATAGCATAGCACCGCATATCATATCATATCATCGCACGGCACTGCGCAGCATAGCATTGCATCGCATAGCACACCAACTTATCGCCTAATATTGCATAGCGTATCAAGGCATCGCATAACACATCATATCACATCATGTCATAGCACGGCATGGCGAAACATCGCATAGCATTGCTTAGCACAGCACAGCACCGCACCGCAGAACGTGGCACAACGTAGCACAGCATAGCAAAGCGCAGCGTAGCATAGCATAGCATAGCATGGCATCGCATAGCATAACATCGCATCGCACGCCGGAGGCTTACCAGAGCCTCGGAAAGAGGGCTCCTCCTCAACCCCCCCCCCTCTTGTTCGTCACCTTCCTACCCTTTTTCTGCCTCCCTTCTCGTTCGTTTTTTGCTTCCCTCCTCCTCCTCCGCCTCCTCCCCGACCCCCTGGGCTCCCCGGATTCCCCGGGCCCCCCGGGTTCCCCGCGCTCCCCAGACCCCCTGGACTCCCCGGACTCCCTGGACTCTCCTGGACTCCCTGGAGCCCCCGGGCCCCCTGGGCCCCCCGGACTCCCCGGACCCCCCCGGGCCCCCCAGACCCCCCAGACTTCCCGGACCCCCCAAGAAAGGTCATCTGCAGCATACATAATCAGAAACATCTGCCCAACTCCTCATCATCTGTAGTGTGTGCTTATAGTTGCGTTTACGTTACCGCCAGTGCTCGCGCGGTTCGGAGGGCGCCCCCCTGCGATCGCACGCGGTCGGCACATTGCCGCAGCGCTTCGAGCTCATGACCGCCCAAGCCAATGCCCAGCAGCTCAGCGATGAGATGAAGGAGGCATGGGAGGTTGTGGACAAGCACTTCGACCCAGAAGACATCTTAGGCTCCGTTGTGGCGGACGTCGTTTCCAAGCACGCGGTGCGAGCATCTCAGCATGAGCTGCCATGCGCCATGTCCATGATGGCGGGGTGCATTTCCATGGCCAACGGCGGCGGGGTCAGCGCGTTCCCGAACAGCCCGTCGCCGCTCGCGATGGCTGTTCTGAACACAAACTACCCACAAACCCGGAAGTCAGCTATCACAGCAGCTGTCGCGATGCTCGGGCGCGCCATGGACAAGATCGCCAACGAGAGGGCGCGCGCTGCGATGGGCCCTGGAGCGAAGGCCAAGACTTCTGTGCTCGCCAAGTGAATTCACGGAGGCTGCCTTTTGGAAGAGGTGCGCGTCCGATTTCCAGCAAGCGCATGTGCCCGCGAAGCGCTCGGAGGAGCAGGGCGCGCCAAACCCCGAACCTGATGGCGACGACCTCGCCCAGACCAACCACGGGACCCTGTTGAACTTAGACGAGGCGTATAAGATGCTTCGGATGCTGGGGATGATCGCGGACACTGGCAGCCAGAAGGGCCCCCTAGAAGTCACGGACCTGGCGTCCGACTTCAATCGCCTGTTCCAGACAGGAGTCGCCGCCTACGCAACGAAGACGGCTGGGTCATCCGGACAAGATGCAGGAGCAAGCGCATGCCTCGGCGTCGCGGGGAACGCCCATCCAGCTATCACCGTCCCCATGGAGAGGGGGGGCCTCGGTAATCACCGCGTGGCTGTGCGGGGGCGTTGGAGAATCCTGACTGCCCATGTGGTCGAACCCCGCGCGCCACTTCCTGGCGACTTCGTCGCGCCCCCGGGCTTCCATGAGCGGTCGTGGCCCGAACTCATGTCGACGATGGCGGGGCCGCTCGGGTTTCCTCCGGGCGCGGACATCCCGGAGATCGCCGCGAACACGCTCCCGCGTGCCAGAGATGCGCCTCATTCGGACGCCGTTGCCCACGAGTCCCAGAGCGGCGAAGAGTACTTGCCTGGCGTGGAAGGCCTCGCTGTTTGCAAAAGCGCCCCAGGGAGATATTTTCCCCGCGATTCCAGAGCGGGGCCCCGTTCCTCATGAAAACTGCAAGGGCCGCAGTGCGGGCGCGAGGGGCCCGCCGGCCCCCAATGAAGCCAGGGGCGCGTGAGCCCGCGGGCGCTTCGGCCAATTCCGGGGAGGATATTACGTGCAGCTCGCAGACGGCACGCAGAGTCGCATTCGCTTCAAGAGGGTTCCCGGCAAATGGTGCCCGACGTTCCAGGTGCCAAACAGAGACATCCCCGTGTTCGCCAACATGAGCATGGACAGCATCGCGGCGAGGGTGCTCGACATGTTCGAGACGCCGGGCATCCAGCTCGGGTTATCCACGAAGGGGCTCTTGGCCTTGCACGGTTTCCACGCCATCTTCAAAGCCGGGTGCGCCCAGGCGCGCAATGCAGACAGGGTCTCCCTGTCCGCGCGTCTCGCGCGCGAGTCCCCAAAGCTCGCCCTGGCGCCCGCGGCGCCCGGTGCCGGCGGGCCCGACGGCGTCGCTGGAGAAGCCCCGGCAGGCGAGGAAATCCCCGCGGCGCAGGGCGTGCCCGAGGAGGTAGATGAAGGCATCCGGGGGCCTCCTTACCCGGACTTCATCGAGGACACGCGCGTCGCGCGGGCGTGCAACCTCTTTGCCGTGTTGGACACCATTCGCTCCTGCTGGCGCCCCGCGAGAGACGCGGACACGCCCGAGGAGCGCATCCGCAGAGCCGAGGTGGCCGAAGAACAAGCTCGCCTGCAGCAGGTTCGCGGCCCGACAGGGCGGAGCTAGTTGGCGAAATGACTCGTAGAGCTTCCCTAAGAGCGTTAGCGGCGAAGCTAGAAGAGTAATTCCGGCGCGTTGGGGGGCTAGTTGGCCAAAAAATCTCGACGGAAGTGACTCGTGGAGCTTCCCTAAGAGCGTTAGCGGCGACGCTAGAAGAGTAATTCGGGCGCGCTGGCGGGGCGGGGGGCCAGGCGGCGTTGGGGGAGGAGGAAGAGATTGTGATGATGAAGATGGCGGCACGATCATTGGAACTGGACCTGCTGCAATCGTAGAGTGGAACTCGGAAAAAATATATTCAATGCGCATCTATCAAACCCATAGGCCAACCGGGGGAGATGGAGGAGGAGGAGGAGGAGGAGGAGGACCAGTGCAAACCCAAAGGTCCTCAAATATGTTAGAATAAACCCTGCATCCAAGCTCCCTCATCCTGAATCATGGGCCCTTACAAGGGTTCATGTCCACTGAGGATAGCGCCCCGTACGGAGGCAACTCTTTGAAGATCCTGCAGCGTGCCAAAACCGTTTTTGGGACTCGCGCCACAAATCGGCGCAACTGCTGCGTCTAAACAATCCTGAATCGTGCCAAAACACAATTCATGGGACTTGAACACCGCGAATCCATGTAACTGTTGCGCCCTGGCAATCCTGAGCCGTTCAAAAGCATAGTTGCTGGTGCGCTGCCCATAAGAATCCGCCAAACCGTTCCACACATTTAAAGCGAACGTGCGCGGCGCTCAGGCGAGAACCACACGCTGGAAACATGGCAAACAAAAAGTACTACAAACAAGCAGGCGACCTCCACCCGTGAAACGCTTACAATGATTTAATACGAATGCGCGCGGAGCTGAGGCGAGAGCCACACCTTGCAAACGACCCGCCCTCAATCCGTGAATTTCTTGCAATGCGGAATGCGAATGTGCGCGGCGCTAACGCGACAACCACATTTAGAAAACGGCGCGCCGTCAATCCGCAAAACTATCGATACCGTTTCAATCGAGAGCGCGCGACGCTAAGGCGAGAGCCACATTTTGAAAAGAAAAAAACGCTGCAGGGTCATCAATGGCAAGGAAGTCTCAGGCGAAACGCCCGGCCCGCCCTTTCGACTGGCCCCGGGGCGCGGCAGGGAGAACGCACGCATAAGAGACAGGAATGGATGGCGAGAAGGGGGAGGAGGATGCGATACGATACGATACGATACGACAACATTGGCAGCAGCAGGTTACTGCCCACTCTAACTGTAAGACAGAAACGAGCACAATAAAAATCTCAGCCGACGTTGCTCTCGCGAGCCGTTTCAGCGCCAGCGCAGACCACTGCCCCGCGAGAATCGGGATCTGGCCCGCTGGCGCCGACGTCCGTGGAGGGCCCACTCTCGAGCCAGATAGCACGCGCCTACAGTCGAGACATCTTCCGCCTCCCCCCCCGCTCTCCCGCGACCGAACCGACGCCCCCTTCCTCTCCCTCGAGGAAGACAGCGCCAAGCCAGGGCCCAGGCGGCCCGCTCGGAGAAGCTCCGCCATTCTCGCAGAAAACAATTCAAGCCTCCGAGAAAGCTTAAAAATCTCATCCTCATAAAAAAGACGGCCTCCAACCTCCTCGCCCTAGACTTGGACGTTCAGGAAAAAACGAATGGCCTCAGTCCTCATCTCACCTCTCTCCTCCGTCCTGGCGGCAGGCGGGCGTCCTGCTGCAGCTCCTCCAGGAGCTTGGCAGCCTCCCTCTCGAGCGGGCTGCGCGGCGGCGGGCCCGCCTTCTTCGCGGCCCCAGCGCGGTGCAGCGCGGCCAACGCTACGCTCTCGAGGGCGGCCCACTCGGCGGCGAAGCACAGCGCGATCCTCACGAACTCTGCGCCCCCACCCCCTTCTTCTCGGTCGAGCGACAGCGGCAATGGCGGGTCATCTGCGCCGCCGATTCGAGCGACTCCTTCATGATCGTCGCCTCCCAGAACTTCCTCATGACTCCGAGACGCCGCTCGCTGGTGTCCTCGACGCTGTAGCAAGCGTCGATCAATGCTTTGAACCCGCGCAAGAACGGCGGGCCAAGGGTCGCGCTCTGGTCGGTGCCCTTGGTGGCCTTGTCCTGCTTGCGATAGCCTACTCCTGCTTCCACCATGGCTTCGGCGATGACCGACCCGCTTGGCACCGGGACGGTATGATACACTGCGGCGATGAGATCTCGCAGCTGGGCCGCTCGAGTCAAAGCCAGGGCCGCAAGCACCTCCACTAAACGCTCTAGCTGTTGTTGACGCGCCCCCCGTTTCCCGCAGCTTCCCCCATCAGCCGGCGGCGCCGTTGATCCCCCGCCGCGGGGCCTCCAAGGGCGCGCTCGATCGCTCAGGTCGGCTCGCCCAGCTCCACGGGTGCGCGGCGGGGCGCGGGTGGCGAGGTGATCGCGAAGTGCCGATAGGTCTTGAGCAACAAAGGGACGCGGCGCACGCCCCAAAAATGAAAGCTCCACGACCCCCCCCCCCCCCCAAGAAACGCGCGCGAGCATGCGCCCGAGGCCTAGACAGGCGAAGAATAGCACGCCGCTGCACCGCACTCCGAGCCCCCAAGACTTCTCGACAATACGGGCATTTATTCGTAACCACCACTTCACTATAGATATCTCCACGTCGATGATGCGTTTGCACGCGTGCGCACAACTGCCGATAGGTAGAAAAGACGCCGAACACTCCGGCCCATCCACCGATTCCATGAAACACGCCCCTTCTCATGATGGCGAGGACGAAGCGGCGATGCTGTTTAAACAGGTTTCTGCGCGTCGAGGCCTCGAAACAGCGAAACATCGATGCGCCTAAAATCTTCTTGAAACTCAGGATCCAGGAAAAACCCAACCCACTCCTCTATCGCACCATCCTCCCAGCTCCTCTGAGAACCACTGCGCATCGTCCAGGGGCCCCATGGACTCCAGATCTTCTCGAACTCTTTTTGCCCGCGGATTCGCCCCCCCAAGTATTCGCCCCTGCTGATCAATCGCGGCCTCTGGCTCCCAGGGCAACTTCCCCGAATGCGCAGGCAGCCACTGCGCATGCCGAACTGGGCCCCGAGAAATAGCTTGCAGTCTACGTAGCCCACGCACTCGGAGCTCCACTTCCAAAGACGGCAGGCGCCAGAACTTACGGACTTCCTCATTCGAGAGAGACGCGACGCGTGCTTACCCTCCTCCTCCTCGCGCGCCCCGCCCCCCCCCATAGCTTTGCGCGCAAATCCATCCACCAGCGCCTGCGACGAGCTAAGCTGCACTTTCGATGGGAAAAACACCCCCGGGCAGTGCGCAGCCGCGGACACAACGCGCGAAACCAAAAGCATCTGCTTAAGTCGATTAGGCGCCCCAGGGAGAAACCGCAACTGCCCCGAGGAGTAGAAAGCCCTAATCGCAGCCGGCCCCCTTGCTTTTAGCTCAACCCCACATGCCCGAGCCAGCCGCGAGCCCCCGACAGACTGCGCCCCCAGATAACGAGCTTGCCGAACAACTTCCCTAGGAAAAAGAGGCCCCCCCCCCCTTTTTGATCGACGAGTAACCTTTTTGCGCGAGCCTCCCCCCGCTAGGTGCATCCAGACGACTTGCATGGATTCGCCGCGGCGCAGCCGTCCTCCGAGAGCGCAGCAGCAAGCAGCCCCGAAGCAGCCACTCGCCTTCAACGATAGCTCCGCCAGCGGATTCGAGGTCGTAGACACATGCATGCTTAGAAGGTCGCCAGCGTAATGACAGCCCGCCAAGTCCACAGGCCCAGAAACAAAAAGCACACTGGTCGCCGCAAGCTGCCCCGCGTCTACCTCTTCCTCGACCAGAGAAGATTTCCACCGCGCAATTGGTAGACGATGCGCTCTCGCCCATGCTGCCACCACAAAAGGGCCCACCATCAGCCCCCCGCGCCGCGGTTCCAAGAGCAGCCCCCCATCGGAACAGTTGACAGCTATCGTGGCACAGTCCACGCGCTAGATGGCCTGCGCCTGGCACGTAGCATCGCACACATCGGCGCGCGCCACTCGCAAACGAGCCTGCGCAATACTTCCAAACGCAGTTTCTTGAAAGTGCCCCTTCTCTTACCCATGAACAGCATCACCTAATCGCCCCCGTCTCATCGCACTACCGTGCCAAGCTCCCCCAAACGTCGGCAACGAATAAATCCACCTCTGCCCCTTCGGCCCCATCGGCTTCGGATTTCTTCAAACCCGTCGTCTCACTACAGTGCCAGAAGGAAGGCGCGCGCCCGCTCGACCATATCCTCCAGCTTCCCAAGAACACAGCGCGCGTAAACAAAAAAGTCGGCTTCGAAATCGACGGCGCCCCCGCCCCACTTGTTCGCTGCCGCGGTTTGATTCCTGCCCCGGGCGAGAGCGCCACATTTCATCATTCTTTCGGCGCAGACCGAGGCAGTGGGCAGCGCCTCCTCTGACGGCGCCCCAGAGAGCGAGAAACATATTCAGCGGCTGCCTCTTTACCCTGCAACTCTAGAATCGTTATGGATTCAGGTGCCAGGGCTTCGGGCTCGAAACAGGGCGAACCTCCCCTGGCCCCCATGCCTCAAGCGCGCCCAGCAGCAGATCAAAAAAGACAGCTGCTCTTGTCGATCTAGAAGAGCAGTCCGAACTTCGAAAAGTGACGCTTCTTCGGCCCTAGCCTCGTACCCGCCGCCGCTCTCGCCGAATCCATCGCCCTGTGCAAATCGCGAGCCTTCCAAGCGTCATGCAAGGCCTCAAGGTGTTCCTCTCTGCGCAGTTGCCGGGTTTGGCTTTGGAGTCTGCGGGGTTCCCTCGTGACATCCATCAATTTGCACCTCAGGGCCTCAACTTCCTCCTCCGTGCACTCCTGTAGCCCCATCCTCATGTCCTGCCTCTCCCCCAAGAGTCTGATCCGTAATCTTTCAAGTTCAAGCTTCCCGGGAACGGCCGCAGAGTCCGAAACAACAAGCTCCCCCCCCCCTCCTCCACCAGCACTCCCCCCCCCCCTCCCTTCTTCCTCCACCAGCCCCCCTCCCCCCCCCCCCCCCCACCCCACGCACACACGCACGCACACGCACACACACACACGCGCACGCACGCACGCACGCACGCACACACACACACATGCCCTCCTCAGCCAGCACCCCCCCTCCTCCACCAGCGCCCTCTCGAGTCAGGGATAGGCTGAGCCGCTGGAGTATCCCAGATGCTCTGGTCAGTCGCCAACCTAGTCTCAATCAAATCCAAGCACTCTCTGCAGCCCCCCCCCCCCGCCCCTCGAAGCGCAGCCATCATCGCATCCGCGTTTAAACTCACCGAACCCACCGCAGGTGGAGCGTGGCCTCCGACGCAAGATGGCGGAAACTTCGAGGGGCGCCTAAACTCGACCAGCACAGGAACATGATCGCGCCGTCGCACAGCATTGGTGAGCTGAAGTTCCCTACCGCATCGAAATAGAGCACCCGCTCGCAGAACAACGTCTCCCAGGCGAGCAGGAAGACATACGAAATCCACGTGCGAGGAAGACGGCTGCCCGTAGTACGCGCCCACGCTAGAGCGCGCGGATGTGGACTCCACGCAGTGATCCTTCAGCAAGTTGCGCACAACCGAGCCCGCGTAGTGCTCCTCCGTCGAGCCCGCCGCTGGAACAGTGCCACCGTTCTCGATAAGGATATTTCCAGCAGCCTTACCCATGCCATCATTGAGATACATCATCAGAGCAGGAACCGATCGAAGGACACACTGACAACTCCTGCTGTAGCCATTGCAGAACATGCTCCACCGTTCGCCGATACGCAGCCTGCGTCGCAATCTCCGTCATGCGAGGAAGGGAATACACCAGCAGGAACGCCTGAACCGCCTGAAGCCTGACGACCAGGCAACAGCCTGCCGAGGCCTCTGGGCCTGACCTGACAGCCCTGGCGTGCTTGTCCTTGAACCTCTTGTGCAACAAAAGGCTCGCGCCGCAAGACTTGTTGGAAAAGGGCCTCCTCTCCCAGTCTCGCTCGATCAGGATGCGGCCCGAGATGACCCTCCTCTGAACTTTCCGCTCCCGCATACGCAGTTGTGTCCCAATGAGCCCCACCGCATCAACACTACACAAAGACGAAGTGATATCCTCAAGTCGTGCATACCTGCTTGCCGCCAGCGGATTGACTTGAACGGATTTCCACGTTGGTCCTTCCGTGTACGCAGGACCTCTCCACATGCACGACAAGTCCACCACTGACAGCAGGAGGGAACGACATCAATGGCGGCGGTGCCACAAGGTGCGCTGGTCTGCGCCCGTCGGTCGGCTGATGTGCTGAATGTAATGTGAGTAGCACATACAAAGGGCGCCTGCCGTCCACACATATCTGGAGCCAAAACGGCGGCTTAGAGGGAAGAGGAAGGGGAGGAAAAGGAGGTGGAAGAGGAGGCGCGTGGCCGAAGGAGGAGCGTGGAGGAGCGTGGAGGAGGAGGAGGAGGAACGTGGAGGAGGAGGAAGAGGAGGACCCAGACCCCCTCGGATCGTGAAAACACACATGACGGATTCCGGAAACCCTGAAACCAAAATAATTGACATCTCTTCTGGGTGCATGTTGTACTTCCGCCACCTTCCGCCGCCCTTGCGCTGCCCTTCCGCCAACTACCGCCAGCGGAGGCGACCTCGTTATACTGGCGCCGCCTTCCGCCGCCCTTCCGGCGCCTTCCGCCGAGGAAGAGATGGCAACTCCTTCGATCCTCGACGGCAAGGCCGTTCTTGGAACGCCCCATATGAGATGAGGCGTCGGTCATGATAGGGCCCCGTGGGAGGTGTTGGAAGCGCCTGGGAGTCCACTTTGCACAATGTTCACGACGTCGGGAGTCTCAGGAGGACGAGGAGGATGGGGAAGAGTTGGGCCAGCAAGGCGGCCCAACATTGCCGCCAGAGGCACCCAACACTCCCAAGAAAACCCCCAGAGGGGCCGAAGGGAGCAGAATCACAGGACCCCAGAGGGATCCAAGAAGGCCTCGCGGGAGACCGAGGCGGCAACAAGACGGCCCAGGCAGGCCCTGGAGGCGCAACGTGTCAGGCCCTCCAGTGCGCTGCTCCAAGCGCCGCCGCACAAGGCGCTGCGCTGGCACGGAGGCGGAACTTGCCGCAGGCAAAGCTTCGGAGGGCCTGGGCCTCTTGAGAGTCCAGGGGCCGCCTCGGAATGTGCTATCATCCTCCTCTGGCACTGCGGAGAGCCACCGGCCTCCGCCACCCCCCCCCAGTCAAGCAAACGAGCCTGGAGGCTTCCACGATGGGGCCAAAGCGGATGGGGTGCTCAAAGACCGCGATCCGGCGCCAGTGCATCGGCAACGCGGATCTGCTGCAGCCCAGCCTGGGCGGCCTGGAAGCAACCCTCGGGGCCGCACGGGCCCAGCAGAGAGGGGGGGGCAGCAGGGCGAGGGGGCGAGCCCGCGGCTGGGCGGGCGGCGGGCCGTGCGTGGCCCTGCCAATTTCGCCGCGCTCCTTGTCCCAGGGGTCGCTGATCTTGTTGTTGACGCCAAAGGGCCGGAAGCACAAGCTGCCCGCCAGCGTCAGCACCATGCCTGCGCCCGGGCCGGCCGCCACTGCCTCTTCTCCCGCTGCGCCTCGGTCCGCTGACGGGGTCGCCTGTGTGGCGCGGCGGCACCGAACCTCGGCCTGGAGCGAACCCGCAGCCCCTGAGCCTGCTGCTCGCTGCGGGCCGCTCTGCTGCGGTCCTCGGGAGGGGGGAGGGGGGGGGGGCGGGATCGGCTCCTGGCGCCCGAGACTGCTGGAAAAGGGCTCCCGCCACGGTGCATCTGGTTTGGCAGCGCCCCCCGTCAGCCTATCCTCCCTTCGCCTCCGGCCGCAGGGCAGAACGACATATTGCCTCCCTCCTCCGTCCTCCTCGCCACCAGCTGTGCCCCTGGCCATCTGGGCGCCTGGCCGCTGAAAGGTCCCAGCTCCTCCTCCCGAGTTGAGGGCACTCGTTCTGATTACCTCGATCGGATTCTCGTGGTCTTTGGCCTAAAACTTACAGTAAAGCTGAGCTAGCCGAGAAGCAGAAATATCGCGTTGAAGCTAGCGTTTCCCGGCCTAGTCGCCATATCCAGAACTCCAAAACTCCTCCTCCTCCTTCTCCTCCTCCTTCTCCTTCCTCCTTCTGAGATGCAACGATAAGGGGGGACCGGTTCAAGAAGCAAAACACCAAGCTGGAATCAACGATACATCGCCGATGGATCGGTGATAGGCCCCCAATAACAAATCCGCAAGTTCCCAGGCCGGGTGGGGTCATCGGGCACCAATCGGCGATCAATGGGCGATTGGAGGTCGATGCACCCCTCTGAGCCTACGTCGTTGCCCCTGACCTTCTGTTGCCCACCCCCCTCCTCCTCAGGATTGCCAGGGCCACTCACCCCCTGTGGCAGTCTCCAGAAGCAGCCAGGCCCTGCAGCCAGGCAGCCTCCTGCTCCCAACGGGAGGCCAAGGGGGAAGGCATCTGCCGCACGTTGTGACCCGATGAGCCGCTCCTGAAAGATGGCCACGCACAGTGCTGCGCTGACAAGGCCGCAGGACTTGCCGCAGGCGCATGGACAGTTGCGGCGTCTCCTCCTCGATAGTTTACTCTTGTGTATCTCCCTCTCAACCCCTCCAGCCAACACTTCGAATCTCGGCGCGCACTCCATGCTCCACCTGGTTCCCAGGCCTCCAGGCCAATGGCGCGCCTCGCACTGCAGATCACGCGCGCCTGCGCGCGCTTCACCCCGTCGCCCGTCTCTTCTGCTCCTGCCTCCCTGGCCACTTGAAGCCCGTTGGCTAGTGCAGCCTCTGGCTTGCCCCGTTGCCGGTGGCCCGCGACGCGGGCAGGGCGCAGACAACGCTGGCGCTTCTGGAGGCCGAAGAAGAGACGGTCATCGTCGATGGTGACGGGGTCGACTACCCTGAAATCCGGAGACCGCAGGCCCGCCTCTAAGCGCGCAGGTGCCACCGAGGGGCGTTGAGCGGACACCCACGCGTTTTGCGTTACCGGTCCGTTCACTGGCGAGTCTCACAACTGCGTATCCTGGCGATCTCGTCCGCCTCCAAAGCCTGCCACCGACCCCACGTAGCATGCTCATTGTTGGGGTCGCTGGCAATCGCTTGGCTTGGAGGGAGGGTTGATACGAATTCAAGGCACTCCTAAAACACACGAGATGCACCTAAGCTGCCATGACCTGCCCTAACGCCCGAATTGCTACGTGGCTGTCGCGTTGCTTGTTCCCCGACTCCTTCTAGACTTTCTGCTACTTACGCTGGACGACCCCCCTACCAGGGTGCGGCACACATCTGCGGGATGCTTCGCTCCGCCTGGCCTCCCCTCCGCTGGAGAGCGGAAGCCAATCCTGTGCCGCGTCTCGAGGCTGACAGGCGCGCAGCCACAAGAGACAGGGCTGCCCGCAGGCCGCAGGGCACAGCATGGAACTAGGAAGCACCCCAAGATTTGACAAAGCCCATGAAAGGTGGGGCGCACCACCAAGAGGGGTGCGCAGGTCGGAGAAGCCCTCACCGCCAGAGAAGACCAGACAAGTGAGGCACCAAAGGAGGTGCCAAAGACTGGGTAGTGATCGTCGGCAAGTAGATCGCGCGCCCGCAGGCGGAGGAGAAGAAGGAGAAAGAAGAAAGGAGGCTACGGGTCCCCGTCCCGCTGTCGGCCCACGCCTAAAGGAAGAAAAACAACGGCGGGAGGGCGCCTTGGAGTATCATGCAGCTCACAGCCACCTGGATCATGATCTTCAGCCACAGCGGCAGCCTCCTGCGAGGCAAGGGGCGAGCTGGTCAGAGAGAACTCCGCGCCGCACCGCTCGGAAAGGGAGGGGGTCGTGGACAGCCTGGAGAAGTGCTGAGGGGGCGCGAGCGTACCCCACCCACCCAAGATTGGCGGGGTTGGCGGGACTGCACGCGCGTGGCTTCGACCAGAGAGGGGGGAGGGCGGCAGGGGGCGTCCCGTCCCAGGGAGGTCCTGGATATCGTGCTCGCGGTCGTGGGGCGGCGGCAGGAAGAGAGCGCGCGCAGCGCGTCTGGCGTCACCCCGGGGAGGCGAAACCTCATTGTTCTGATGCCCCCAGGAGCGCCAGAAAAAAGTCGGCTGCGCGCTCGGCAAACATCCGTGGAGGCAAGGATTGGGTTGGATCCGCGCGTGGGCACGCTCCGCTGCCCCCCAACCCCCTCCCCAGAGCGCAGTGGGGTGGCCCGAACTGCAAGCATGGCAGCACCCACGAGAGGTGAGGGCTGCGCACGGCGGCACTTCGCTGGACCCCCCCCACAGGGCAAGGAAACGACAAGTGGAGGGAGACTCTGATAGAGAGGGAGAGAGAGAGAGAGAGGGCGAGACAGAGAGAGAGAGAGAAAGAGAGACACAGAGAGTGAGAGAGAGAGAGAGACAGACAGAAAGATAGAACGAGAGAGATGAGATCAAGGTGACAGGCTGGAGGTCAATCAGGGTGGGCATTTGATCTCAATCCCCCACCAACCTCCTTATCGCCCGAAGGGCGGTCGTATAGGTATGTGTGTAGGTAAAGAAAGTGCCAAGACAGCGTCAGAGAGTTCAACAGCATTCCCGAAACATTTTTGCATGTGACCCCGAAGTCTTGATGGGGCTCGAGGAAGAGGATAGGGAGTGGGAGTCCCATGTTTTGTTTAAAGCATTTTTTGGAATTCCCTTTTTTCCCAACCATCCTGTGGTGTTGGGTCCTCGTTTTGAAGAGACGGTGCCCCGCGTTCCCGCCTCCTTCCTCCCTCCCTCCTCCCCCCTCCTCCCCCTCCCACACCCATTTTGGCACACCCCTCACAGGCTTCGTGGCCCCATAGGGAGCTCCACCGAAGGCCCCTGTGGCTGCGTTCGCATGCGCCCACCGCACCCATTTCGGCGCACCCCTCACACGCTTCGTGGCCCCACAGGGAGCTCCACCGAAGGCCCCAGTGGCTGCGTTCACATGCGCCCACCGCACCGATTTCGGCACACCCCTCACACGTTTCGTGGCCCCATAGGGAGCCTCACCGAAGGCCCCCGTGGCTGCGTTCGCATGCGCCCACCGCACCCAGTTCGGCACACCTCTCACACGTGTCGTGGCCCCACAGGGAGCTCCACCGGCCCCAGTGGCTGCGTTCACATGCGCCCACCGCAGCCATTTCGGCACACCCCTCACACGCTTCGGGGCCCCATAGGGAGCCTCACCCAAGGCCCCCGTGGCTGCGTTCGCATGCGCCCACCACACCCAGTTCGGCACACCCCTCACACGTTTCGTGGCCCCATAGGGAGCTCCACCGAACGCCCCAGTGGCTGCGTTCGCATGCGCCCACCGCACCATTTCGGCGCACCCCTCACACGTTTCGTGGCCCCACAGGGAGCTCCACCGAAGGCCCCAGTGGCTGCGTTCACACGCGCCCACCGCACCCATTTCGGCACACCCCTCACACGTTTCGTGGCCCCATAGGGAGCCTCACCGAAGGCCCCCGTGGCTGCGTTCGCATGCGCCCACCGCACCCAGTTCGGCACACCCCTCACACGTTTCGTGGCCCCACAGGGAGCTCCACCGAAGGCCCCAGTGGCTGCGTTCACATGCGCCCACCGCACCCATTTCGGCACACCCCTCACACGTTTCGTGGCCCCATAGGGAGCCTCACCGAAGGCCCCCGTGGCTGCGTTCGCATGCGCCCACCGCACCCAGTTCGGCACACCCCTCACACGTTTCGTGGCCCCACAGGGAGCTCCACCGAACGCCCCAGTGGCTGCGCTCGCATGCGGTTCCACCCCCCATTTCGGCACACCCCTTCACACGTTTCGTGGCTCCATAGGGAGCTCCACCGAAGGCCCCAGTGGCTGCGCTCGCATGCGGTTCCACCCCCAATTCTGGCACACCCCTCACACGTTTCGTGGCCCCATAGGGAGCTCCACCGAAGGCCCCAGTGGCTGCGCTCGCATGCGGTTCCACCCCTCATTCTGGCACACCCCTCACACGTTTCGTGGCCCCATAGGGAGCTCCACCGAAGGCCCCAGTGGCTGCGCTCGCATGCGGTTCCACCCCCAATTTCGGCACACCCCTCACACGTTTCGTGGCCCTATAGGCGGCGCCGCTCCATTTCGGCACACCCCTCACACGTTTCGTGGCCCCACAGGGAGCTCCACCTAAGGTCCCCGTGGCGCAGTGCGCATGGCGCCGCCGCCCCATTTTGGCACACCCCTCACACGTTCCGTGGCCCCACAGGGAGCTCCATCTCAGGTCCAAGTGGCGCAACTCGCATGGCGCCGCCGCCCCATTTTGGCACACCCCTCACACGTTTCGTGGTCCCATAGGGAGGGAGGAGGAGGTGGAGGAGGAGGAGGAGGAGGAGGAGGAGGAGGAGGAGAAGGAACCCCCACGATATCCACAATTGCGGTATTCACAACTACGTATGGTTGGGTCTTTCGTCAAGCTAATTTTCAAATTCCTCGGTCTTGGAGCGTTGGAAGCGGGAAAACGTGAGAAGGCGGAAAGCGTCGACAAAAACCACTGGAAAGCAACGAGTTTACCCTCTTCGGGCTCTCTCGGGACGGTTCTCGAAGCTCTGTTGGGCTGTTTTGGGGGCCTCGTCGGTGATTTTTGGGGGGCCTCTCAGGCCTCTTGGAGGTCCCGGAATCCTCTCGGAGGTCTCTGGAGGCCTCCTGCTCCCGCTCTTGGGCTCATCTTGGGCCTGTTCGGGCGCCTCTTCGGCAGTCTTGGAGCCGTCTTGGCCCGTTTTGGAGCCGTCTTGGGGGCCTCTTGGGCGGTCTCGGGGCGGTTTTGGGGGCCTCTTCGGCCGCCTTGGAGCGTTGGGAGTATGAAATGGTGAGAAGGCCAAAATTAATTGAACCAACAATGAAAATTAACGATTTTAGGTTCTCCAGGCGCTCTCGGGAGGCAGCTGTTTTGGGGGCCTCGTCAGCGCTTTTTGGGGGGCCTCTCAAGGGTCTGGGGTGTGTTGGAGGCCTCTGGGTGTCCCGAAATCCTCTCGGAAGTCTCTGGCGGCCTCCTGCTCCCGCTCTTGGGCTCACCTTGGGCCTGTTCTGAGGTGATCTGGAGCTGTCCGGGGCGCCTCTGCGGCAGTCTTGGGGCCGTATTGGCCCGTCTTGGGGCCGTTTTGGAGGCCTCTTGGGCGGTCTTGGGGGACTCTTCGGCGGTCTTGGAACGTTGGAAACATGAAATGGTGAGAAGGCCAAAAGCCATGGAAAAAAAAACCTTAAACTTAGAGATTTTTGATTTTCCAGGCGCTCTCGGGAGGCCTCTTGGGGGGCCTCTCGGATCACTCTTGATGTCTCTTGGAGGCCTCCTGGGAGCCTGGAGAACCGCCCGAAACCTATCCTGGGTTACTTAGGAGCGTCTTGGGCCTTTCCTTTACGTTCTGGGGGGTTCTTGGGGTCGTCTTGGGTTGTCTTTGGGCATTTTGGGAGCTCGCCGGGAGGCCGGGAAGCGCGGTGCCGAGAGCGTACACCAAATGTGAGCGAGGTGGAGGACGCCCCGGGAGGGGGCCCGGCCTATTTGCTTATAGACTATTAAATAGATACGCGTATGTATATATATATATATATACATTTACACATATATATATTCTCATACGCACCTCTCCGAGGGAGTAAAGCTCAGAGGCGATTAGTGCGCACGTCGTCCGCGATTTTTCTGGCCGTTTCGCTCGGGACATCCTCGAAATTCTGAAAATCGGTGGCACCCATCACGCAGATCGTGACGTCAGGGTCCAAAAACACATGGGAATTTCAACATTTTAACATACAACCTTCAAACACACATGGTAATTTCAATAATTTTGACCCCGATTCTCAGAGAATGGCGGTTTCGCCTGAGACATCCTCCCAAAATCGAGCCCCAGACCCCTCCTCGGAGCCTCCTGGTGGCCTCCTGGAACCTCCTGGGGCCTCCTGGGGCTTTCTGGACCTTCTGGTACCCCAGACCCCGC